GGTGTCGCGGCTCGGGGGGTTCGCGGCTGACCCGGTCTGTCCCAGCCCTCAGGCTTCAGGGCTTCAGCCTTCCCTCTGCCCGGCGGACCCGCAGCTGCGCTGCAGAACAAACCCCTCCAAAGGGAGGAACGGCTGCCAGCCTCCTCCCGTTAGCTTTTTTGGCAAAAAGACTGCAGGGTAAACCACAAGTAATCTACAGAGTGATGTATGCGGTGTCCTTGGAAACTGAACAAGACTTAACCTGAAGAATTAATCTCATAAAAACTTAGTAAGAATGATGGCTGTGTGTCATATTTTTATGCTATTGGAGAAAATTGCAGAAATACTGATATTAATGCAATCAGAATTTTAATTCTAATTGAAAAAGTCAATTTTTGCCTGAAAAGAATGCTTGATTCTTTATTTAATTTCTCATATGTACAAACAGCTATGAGATACAGTACAGGGTAGTTCTGAATGTTACCTGATTGTTCAGGGGGAAAAAGTTTCTTTATTGAATACAACTTATTCTTCAAAACTTGATCCATGTCAACTGATAAAAAGTTGGTACTAAATGTTTAGAGAATGCCTGCCTGGAGAAATAATTTGAAAGCAGTGAATGGTTTTGAATACTACCAACATTGTGCTACTGTGCCGTACCAGTTAATATGTTTCTTAAAGGGAGAAAACAAAATAAAAGACTTTGCTGTTTGAGTTTTTACTCAAACTATGGAATTTCACTTCACATTGCGCCACAGGTCTGTTACATAGCTCTACAATTAGTTACACAGTCTGCATAATGGCATCTAATACCACCTGTTGTGTTCTGTTCCCCTCTCACTGTTTTACTTCACTATGAATAGTCTTGTAGTAGTACCAAAACAGTGTCTTAACTTAATGACTATTTGAAATGTATTGCCACTTCGTATATGTGAGTTAAACGCCAAAAGAGTTCTGATTATTCTTAATGCATCTGTTTAAAGTTCTCACTAGCACAGGTTACAAGAGTAAAGTCAACTATAGCAGCAGCAGTTCTTATTCTCAGTCATTTATTTGGGTGTTCATGTGACCTACTCAGTTTAGGACTAATTATTGCACTGACGAGGTTGAAATCTTGCTCTTGGTGTGAAGTTAGTAGCTTTGTAGAGATTTCGGGGGAAAGTATTTTGGATCCTTGGAATACTCAGGGTCTGTTACTTTTGAAACTGCTGCATGGTCATGTTTCTTGTAAGTATTTAAATGACACTGGTTTTCAGGGGACTCTCTTATGTAGGATTTAATCTTGAATGAAAAAGAGGCAGATTGTTACCAGCTAGCTCCCTGAGTTAACAAAAGTACTTTTTCTGCTGGTTAATTAATTATTTGCACTGGGGCTTCTGCTGGTCCTCCTGTTGCCTGTGAAGTCAGCCCTCCAAGTGATGAAGATGCGTTGTGTAAAACTTCCAGGGTAGAACTCTCACAGACTTGGTGAAATATTTTTCGGTTCTGTGTCATATTAGATACATGATCCAGCAGATAGTAAGAGAGACATATTTTTATTCATATAAAAATTTAATAACTGACAAGATCTGGATTTTTCTAACTCTGAACATTACATAGAAGCAAGTTTGAATATGACACTTGTCCCTGCTACCCATTTAGCTCCACCAGCACAGAATAGTGTTTTACTGAAACTACAACATACTCTTTTCCCTTGTAAGTTGTGAGGTAGAGAAAGGGTATTAGGATGCGTGTGTCTTAAGTTGTTTGTCTTTCATGAGCTTTTGACGGTCTCCTGTTTGTTATTTGTAATAGTTTGAGGCCATCAATACCTGACAGAAACACTGCAATGAGGAGTGGGGGGGTCGGGGAAACTGTGTTTTGTCTTGAAAGGTAAGGTGTGTGATGTGGTTTTATAGTCCTGTGGCTGTAGTAACTTTATGTGTCACTCCGTTTACTTCTTTGACTCAGAGTGTGTTATTCACAAATACTTATTTCTGAATAAATTCAATTTTTATGCCTCCATAAGTTTTCTTCTTGTGGGGAAATCTGAGTAACAACAGAACTGGCATTAGAGCCATCTGCCTGAGGCTTGCAAAGATAATATTGCATTACATTTTACTTGCAAAATGTGCAGTTAAAAGGGGTTCTCAATATTGAGTTATTCTGCTGTGTCCAGGAGGAACTTCCTACTTACCTGAGGTAGACTGACAACTTCTTTCCAGTAGTGCCTACCTATGCTATTTATCTTTAGGGACAGGGAGGGAGGCATCTGAAATGGCCAACTGTCATTTCTGTTTTCCTCTAAGGAGAAGTATTTTGTCACTTTAGTACAAGGACTGGGCCTGATATTAGCTCTGTCAGTCTCTCTTACTGGAATGCTACGTAGTGACATAATGGAGGTGTGAATATACACATATATATCAACTGTTGTTTGGCATGTTGGTGTCCCAGTGCTCTCCTAACATTGCCTTCGAGATGAGCTGATTACCTGCATGATTGAAGAAGCTGTAAGTGACTAGAACGCTTCTAATGCTGCCTATTTGTGACAATCACTTGGCCTTGCAAAGCCGAATTCATGCATTTATAAAATCATTAAATTGTCAAACAACTTAATTATACACTTAGTACTGTTCATCTCTGCAGAGAATTATGCCTTTGAGCCAAAACTTGAAAAGGTGATCTCTGACTTGAGAAAATACTGCTTCCACTTGCATGATTGTGCTTAAATAATAAGTTGGCATATATATTTATCAGTAACAGTTCTGAAATTTACGTTTAATGTTGCTTGACAAACTTGTTACATTTTTAGTCCCATTTTGGCCTGGTTTTGTTACTTCACCCTGAGTAGTTTAGATTGATTAATTATTTCATTTCAATGTATTTATAGTAGGCTGATACTTAAAGCGCTTGTCACGTTAAGACTCTGTTACATTTTATACAGACATGCACTTTGGCAGTTCTTTTCAGGTTATTTAGTGCTTTTACAAAACACTTTCATAATTTAATGCATCTCAAAAAATCTTTTTTTTTTTTATTTATTTGAAGGAGGTGTGTAAAATGGCATACTTCAAAGTCTGAATTAGGGAAAAAAAAATCCACCAAATGTTTCTCCCACAATTCTCTGTTTATTTAAAGATATTTTGCCAATATCCTGGCTTTCACCAGCTTTTGTGTGTGTACATATATATATATATATATGTATGTAGTAGATGAAGTTGTAGAAACCTGCTTTGAGCTTCCCAATTGAAGATAGGAATGAATCTTATAAACTACAGAAGTCAGCCATTTTTGTTACAGTTTCTTAAGTTTCCTTAATTTATAGTAAATAAGGTGGTTCTTTGCTAACTGTCTAAGAGCATACCATGCAGTTGCTGTGTGGATTGATTTGGTTGTTTAATTTGTGTCTCTTCCTAGGTGTATGGCTAAGTGTAGTGAAACTTGTATTTTCAAATGAACTCTGACTATTCACCTAGAAGTGAAAACAAACAAAACCCAACCAAGATGCAAGTGCCAGAAATTTATGATTAGGAATTTTATGTTTATAAATCACATTTAGTTTTTTTTAAACATTTTTTCAAGATACTAAATTTAATTATGCATTTAAAGCAAGACCTTGGTGGAAGATTAAACTTCATCCTTTTTCGGTACTTTCTTCTAGTGCTTTCAAATCGAATCACATTTGTAGAGATAAACATAAGGAGGAGACAAATCTTAGACTTACGTTTTATCTGGTCATATCTCCTCTTTAGTTTCACCATGGATATCAAGTTCTGCTTTGGGTGAAATAATGTGATTAGTGCAGTCACTTTATTTTGAAATAATTATTTTTAAAAAGTAGCACGCTTATCTTGTAGTGTGTAAGGTTTTTTTAGTTTGATATCTTTTTGCTTTAGTAAATCAATAAACTAGTATTTATAAAGTGTTCAAAACTTGAATTCCAGAAAAATGATCCCCCGTTTCAACTCAGACTTCCTCCAAAGGCAGCTAGACCTGAAAAAGAAGTTGACCCAGAATATGAAGAGAAGATGGTAAGTGTTTTTACAACAAAACATAACTGCAGCTTTTTTAATGACATTTGGTTGTTTACTTGGAATAGATCAACATGGTTACTTGATATTTACAGTTTATTTGGTTTTCACGTTGTTTACACAAATGGTCCAATAATGCCTGCAAGGGAAAAATAATAGTAATTCTTTTCCAGGAGATCTTTGTGAAGATGTTGATTTGCTCGCAGGTGGTGCACTATTCAAAGAAATGCATTGCCCTCATGTGGGGAGATCATGCGTTGCAGTTCAGGTTCATTTTTATTGCCCTTTGGTTTGTGTTATTGCTGTGAGAGCACTTCTACTTGCGTGTAAGTTTCCTGCAGAAAAGCTTTCTGTTGTTTGAATGTTTCTTAGAAAGGTTATGGTACAGAATTACAATTTCACTTTTGTATTTTATATCAAGATATATAAATAAAATCACATGAAAATTGGTTTAAGTGGTACAGTGTTACATGATGCTTAGAAATGGCATAGAGAAACTGGTAACAGTTGCATTCTGTCAAATAGCATTTAAATTTTATCATATTTTTCTTAAAAATTATGTAACATGGTTTTTAAATATAGAGAAGGACATATGTTTTGCTGTGTTTATGTACTGAAGTGCAGATGTCTCATTGATATGGCAAAACTAAAATGATTGAAATGTGAAATCTGACAGCAAAACTCGCAAAATTCAGTGAAAGTGGCATTGAGCTGGTGCATCCATTACTTTAGTCATACTTCTAAAAGCAGAGGTACCACATTGTTGTCTTGGGTTAAATCCTGGCGGCCTTGAAGCTGATGGAAGTTTTTCCAGTCACTTGAGCAAAGTTGGAATTTCATCCTTTGCTGTAGGTCAGAGCCGTAGGTTTTTTCTTTCTTTTGTACCGGTCCTTTAGAGCATCCCCTTGCAGTGGCTGCTGTGTCGTGCAGACTTCAGCAATCTATACAAGTAAACTGGTTTTGGGTTGTTTTACTAATCTTTGAGTTTTGAATGGGGATGGGTTGCTGGAGTGAGATTATCCAGTCCTGCCATGTCTTCCAGTTGCTGTTGTATTCATAAAGGATTAATTGAACTACTACATGTTACAGTTGGGTGCCCTGAAGCAATTAATGCTTAGCTGTAAGCTGAAGCAGCTCAAGAGCTATTTCATGATGTGTGTAGCCCTCCGAGTTGGCTAACAATAGGCAGATGGTCTTGTCAGCCTTTCCTCATATAAGTTGTTCTCACGAGTGTCTCAATTCTGTTTCTTAATGAAAACACATTTTTAATGAAGAAAATTTACTAATTTTTCTTTTTTTAATTTTCTCCCCACTTTGGAAACTAGAAAGCAGATCGAGCAAAAAGGTTTGAATTCCTCTTGAAGCAGACAGAACTTTTTGCACATTTTATTCAGCCTGCAGCACAAAAATCGCCAACATCTCCATTGAAAGTCAAGCTGGGACGGCCACGGATGAAGAAAGATGAAAAACAGAGTTTGATTTCAGCTGGGGAGTATGTTTTATTTTTCTTTCTGACTTCTTACACTTTCAAACAAATTATGCATTTTAACATACCTGTGTAGTTAGTAGCATAGAGATTGCCCAGGGAACAGCTTCTCCAGAGAAGCTGTGGTTGACCCCTCCCTGGAAGTGTTCAAGCCCAGGTTGGGTGAGGCTTTGAGCAACCTGGTCTAGTGGAAGGTGTCTCTGCTCATGGCAGGGGGGTTGGGACTGGATGAGCTTTAAGGTCCCTTCCAACCCAAACCATTCTGTGATTCCATGGTTGTGCTTTAAGTAAGTCCAGAACTTTTCCTATTAATGGTGTATCATACTTTCTTTAAAAGCTGGCTGGTGTATGTATGCTGATCCATCAGCGTTAGTGTGACCTCGGATCAGGAATGCACCTTTAAAGTAAATTCCCTGAGTCTTGCCACTTACCATGCTTTGGTCCATATTGTGAAGTGATTTTAGAGCACATGAATTTCATTTCTTTTGCATGACACTGAACCAGAAGATGTGCTCTGGGAATGTACCTGATGTGTTCTAGCTGCTAGTGGGTGTGTCAGTGGGACCAGAGTGGAGCTAGACCCAGTTTAAAACAAGACAACGTGCTTATGATGTGGGTGTTGGATCCTCAGCACCATTTGTCTCACTCCACCGGTCTGTCTATATTAGTTTGTAATGCAGAATGGCATTTCTATTTTATTTAAAAAAAAAAAAAAAAGGTGATTAGTTACCAAATAATTGATTCTGAGGCCACCACTGGTGTGTGTCTTGTATTTCTGTGTTGCTCATTAAAAAGTACCTTAGAGAACTCATGATACTTGTTGTCAGAGCATAGTTATGGCTCTGGAGGAGAGGGCTTCATATCAGCCTTTCTAATTAAATCTGGATTGAACCATAAAGAATAACTTAGTACCAGAATATGATTTTGGTCAGGGTACTAGAACACACACATTGTAGATCAGTGATTGTTTCTGTTATAATTTGTCTCTTGATTTTATAGTCAGTGTTTTTAAATTATTTCCTATAAACATGAATCTTTGAATCTTTCTTCAGTTATCGTCACAGGCGCACAGAACAAGAGGAAGATGAAGAGCTGTTGTCAGAGAGTCGAAAAACATCTAATGTGTGTATTCGATTTGAAGAGTCTCCTTCATGTAAGTATTGTATTGACAATCTTCTGATTGCTTTGACATAATTAAAATCTGAGCAGATTGCAATTAAAATTTTCTACCTAGAATCAGTATTTTTCTACTTAGAGGAATCTTACATTTACAGATGTGAAAGGAGGAACACTAAGAGATTATCAGGTTAGAGGTTTGAACTGGATGATCTCATTGTATGAAAATGGTGTTAATGGCATTCTGGCAGATGAAATGGTAAGCAGTAATCTTTTTGAAATTTTTGTGGTAATTATTGCCCAAAATTCATCACTGTAGTGCCTACAGTATTTAATGTTTATGCAGTAGCATACGTTGTTCTGTGACAGTTAGATTTTTCACAGCTGGAATTGTAATGCAGTGGAAGAACTTGTATTTGCAAACAGTTGCCATCTAGTTTCCTTTAAACAACTTGAGTGTCAGAATTGTATAGTAGGAACATTGTCTGAAATTATTTCTGTATGGTATTTCATTTCAGCAGGTTTCTTTCCCCCCCTTCTTTGTCAATACAGGGTCTTGGTAAGACTCTGCAAACAATAGCGTTACTAGGCTATCTGAAGCATTACCGAAACATTCCTGGACCGCACATGGTCCTGGTTCCAAAATCAACTTTGCACAATTGGATGAATGAATTCAAACGCTGGGTTCCATCGTTACGTGCTGTTTGCCTTATTGGAGATAAAGACGCCAGAGTAAGTGCTCTACGCTTCAAAGCTGTATGAATTATTTGTCAAAAACTAGTATTTGGGTATGTGGAATTCCCCCTAAGCTACTTCCTTAATTACAATATTTTTGTAGTAATCTTTAATTGTATTAGCATTGAAAGTGTTATGCTTGTAACTATGAGGAAAAAGTGCAAATCAGTTGGTGAAATAATAGTCTGGGATCAAAGTACGGCTGTCTGACCTCCTTTTCTGTTGTCTTCCTCTGGTTCTTTGCACTTTTTTTTAATCTCTTCTGTGTTTGCATTATGACAGTGTTTATTAATTTTCCTTTATTACCCTCACTTTGTTACCTCTTTCTTCACTTTTTCAAGTGACCTCTCCCACTCTTTACTTGTGTCTTACATCCATGCCTTGCCTTCTAACTAGGATTGTGTTGTAGAGCTTTTCATCTTTCATAGTGAAGGCCTTAAAATAGATCTAGGGTGGTTTTCTCACTTGAAGGGGATCAATGAGCTGGATGTTTCTGTGAATTCTGTGGCTCCTCATAGATTGTGTGACTGCCTGTTACTGCAGGAGGGTAGGAAGGCTCTACAAAGGGATCTGGACAGGCTGGATTGATGGGCTGAGACTGATTGTATGAGGTGTAACAAGGCCAAGTGCTGGTTGCTACACTTGGATCACAACAACCCCATGCAACATTACAGACTTGGGGAGGAGTGGCTGGAGCGCTGCTCAGCAGAGAGGGACCTGGGGGAGTTGATTGATAGTCGGCTGAACATGTGTTCAGGTGGCCAAGAAGGCCAACAGCATCCTGGCCTGTATCAGAACTAGTGTGGCCAGCAGGACTAGGGAAGTTATTGTCCCCCTGTACTTGGCCCTGGTGAGGCCGCACCTCAAGCACTGTGTTGTTTTGGGCCCCTCGCTACAGGAAAAACATTGAGGTGCTGGGGCATGTCCAAAGAGCAACAAGCATGAAGGGTCTGAGAACAAGACTTATGAGGAGCTGCTGAGGGAACTGGGGTTGTTTCCACGAGTGACAGGACAAGAGGAAACAGCCTCAAGTTGTGCCAGAAGAGGTTTAGTTTGGATATTAGGAAAAATTTCTTCAAGGAAAGGGTTATCAAGGACTGGAACAGGCTGCTCAGGGAAGTAGTTGAGTCATCATCCCTGGAAGTGTTTAAAAGATGTGTAGACATAGCACTTAGGGGTGTGGTTTAGTAGTGGACTTGGTAATGTTATGTTAATGGTTGGACTCGATCTTAAGGGTCTTTTCCAACCTAAACGCTTCTGTGATTCTCTGAGAGGATCTGCTGGTTCTGCCAGTGAGCTGGACAGTTTCTTCCAGTGCCATAGGCTTGGATTTGACTGTTCTGCTCTTTGCAGATTGTTTTAATTTGAAGTCTGATAATATTTGCACCACAGTGTGTTTATCACTAGTTCCGTGGAATGAAATTAAGATTGTGTTGAAGGGAAGCGTGTACCTTCACTTTGTACTTTCTTTGCTTTCAGAGTCTTATGTTTGTATTGTCATAACTTCTCATTTCCTGATTTTCTACTTAATCTCTCTGTTCTATGGTGACTAAAGCACCTCTGAGCTTATATTTGCATTTTTAAGTCAGTGCATAGAGTTGTACAGAACACTCCTTTATTAGGTAGTGCTCCAAGGCTGTGCACTTGAACAGTTCTGTCAGCCCTACTCACTGGGGTGATCTGTGTACCCTAGTAAGTAAGTTCTTGGAGAGCTGCATGTGTGGCTTTTCCACAGGGTGATATACTTTCATGTGAAAGGATTTTTGTGCTTAGACATATATCCCCTACAAAATAGAGATGGGACAGAGGAGGGAAGAGAGAAGATGGGAGTAGTGTATTTGGGTTGTTTTGTGGATTATGTCTTTGGACTAGTTTAGAGGGTTTTTTCCCTATTGTTAGTATGTACAGAAAAATTATGCTGAAGAGTAAATATTTAATTTTGAATAAGAGAAAATTACTGTTTTGCTTAACCCCAGCTGATAAACTGTGCAGAAAGTACAAAGGATTGAAGGTCTTTATTACTGTAACTTTCAGTAACTGAAAGGATGTTTGAGTCGTCTTTTGTGTGCTAGCTTAGTGCATCAGTACTGTTGGCAGAGATAGGTTTCACTGAATTCCATATAAATTGTTCATATTTATAAGTGTTTATTAATTCAATTGTTCTGCTTTAGGCTGCTTTTATCCGTGATGTTATGATGCCTGGTGAATGGGATGTTTGTGTTACATCATATGAAATGGTAATTAAAGAGAAATCAGTCTTCAAAAAATTTAACTGGAGGTACCTGGTAATTGATGAAGCCCACAGAATAAAGAATGAGAAGTCTAAGGTAAATTCAAAATTATTTGATACTTTGAAGATAGTTTGACACAAAAGATTCCATCTGATTTTTAGCAGACTTTAAGTGTTAGGTGTAGGGGGTTTTTTCTTTGGTTGTTTTTCTAAATATAAGCCCTGAACTACTGGGTGGTAAATATGAATTTTGTAGGTAGCTCACTGTCTTTAAATTTAGTTGACATTGTTTCACGTTTCAAAAACTGATGAAAATTCATTATGCTTAAATGTACATGATGATGTTAACTATTTGTTGTATTTCTAGCTGTCGGAGATTGTACGTGAATTCAAGACAACAAATCGATTGCTGCTTACGGGAACTCCTTTACAGAATAACCTCCATGAGCTGTGGGCATTACTCAATTTTCTTTTACCTGATGTCTTCAATTCTGCAGATGTAAGTTGAGGCTTGGAAGTGGGGTTTTGCTCTTGTTTTGATTCCCAGGCTGCTATCTGCAGAGGAGAAGAATGACTAGCCTAGTGAGAGACATAGGATGTGGAAGAGCTAGATTCAGTAGAAGCTCTGTGGCTTACCCAACGATAGACTACTTTTTTGCTCTGTGTAGTTAAAACAGTGCACTGTTAGTGCAGATAAGGCCTCGGGCCCGTAATAGCAAATGTGATACTTTAAACAGTTCAAGAATTATGCAAAGTGGAACAAATTTGGGAAAGCAATGCAGAATGAAGAAAATGAAGCATCCAAATAGGCGTAAGCCTTTTGTGTTTATAATTTGAGTAATCGTTCTCCTGTTCTACTGCTAGTGTTTCCTTGCACTTGCATTGCTTGCTTCCATAGTTGTTGCTCTGCTGTCCATCTCATTTACTTAAGGACTCTGGTTTCTTTTTCTTTTTTTACCGCCTTGCCCTGCCATTACACAGGCACTAAGGGAACGAACTTGGACACTGCAGTGACAAACATGGAAAACCACTGTAAATTAAGCAGAGTAATACTGTTTGCCGAGTTACTCAGGTGACCTGAATGTTATAATGTGCTGGGGAGCTGGCACTGAATTGCAGACTGATTTTTCTCTCTCATAGAAGGCATTTGTCTGAATATTTATGCCACTCAGCTGGAGTGGAAGAGAGTCAGTATGTGTCTGTTGAAACTACAGATGATAAACTATTCATACCAATTGTGCTGTTTCTCACCACAGGATTTTGACTCATGGTTTGACACTAAAAATTGTCTCGGTGATCAGAAACTTGTAGAAAGACTTCATGCTGTAAGTATTTAAAGCTGTAATCATGTATCATCGTTAGCATACACAGTGTAAAAAAAAAATAAAAATAAATGGATTATGTCCCCCTTTTGTCTCCAAGTTGAGAAGATAAACTTGAAGGTATTTAGTTACAGAAATGCCCAGTGGAATTTTCATGAATGAAATACTGGAACTTTTTATTATAGATACTGCTTTTTGTAACATTACTGTTTGAAGCAGACAAAATCTGTACATAAAATGGGAAAATGAAGAATTTTGAGATCTTCTTGAAACCATTTATTATTGTTAATAATATACTGCTACCCATCATGCTAGTCTGAAGAAAGGCATGCCTTTACCTTTGTTTTACTGTACATGAGATAAAAGACGTTTTTCAGCATACCATAGCAGAACAAATGAGAAGGAAGTACAAAATACTTATTGAAATGTTGGTGTATTTGGTATATGCTGCTAGTGGAAATGAAACTGAGCTTATGTGAAGCTCATATAAAATAGATTTTATAAGCTTATGGGTTTGGCCCTTGCTTACCCAAGGGCCAGACCCATGAGATTGCCATATTCATCCCAGATAACAGCTGAGATGAATGTGGCAATCTTTATGTAGTGTACATATTTATGTGTGAACTTAGCTTATTAGTGCACAGCTTCATACTTTAGCAGAATTTCTCTGAAGGAGTCACCATGACAGCAATAGATCAGTTCTGAATAAATATCAGATAATTGAATCTGTTAATTTTGTATTTGAGGCAATCAATTTTATAAATTTATCTGTGGAAAAACTCTTAATTTGTGTAGGTTTTGAAGCCATTTTTATTACGTCGCATAAAAGCTGAAGTAGAAAAGAGCTTGCCTCCAAAGAAGGAAGTAAAAATTTATCTTGGGCTCAGCAAAATGCAGAGGGAATGGTGAGTTGTTTACATCAAAGTAGGGTTCTTTTCTGATAGAGAGCTTTTCACACTGATTTTTTTTTTTCCCTTGTAGTTCCAGGTTAAGACAGTCAGATGGAGAAGCCTGTTTATAGCCATCTTTGCTTTTTTTAAAGGTGCACAAGTTACAAAGAGATCAGGAAGGGTAATGAAAAAGGTCGGGCAGAAGAAAGCAGAAACTTTTTTCTTCTTTAATTTTGTTTGAAAGAATATATGCCTACTAAGTTTCCTCCTTTGAGCCAAATATGTACACACCACTAAAAGTCTGAGCTGAAATTAAAATAAAACCTTGAGAAGTCACATACCCAGAAGAGATCTGAGAAAAGGAGCCAGGTCAGTGTAGCAGCTTCAGTCAAATAAATGCTATCTTTAATCCACTTTGTAGTCCTTAAATAGTAGTGTAAGATAACCCAGTAAATGACAGATCATTGTCACTCACAGAGAAATTGCCTTTCCTGCTTAGGTATGGATTTATAAATCCTTATTATCAGTCAGATGTTCTTGCCAAGTTTCATAATAATACAGCTCATTATTATAAAAACAAAGCAAACTCACACATCCAGAAATAAGTAATTGGGATATTGCAGGTTTTCATTCATGTTTTAAATACCAAGTAAAAACTGAGTTGTTAAAAATTGCCTGTAAAACTTCAGGTATACGAGGATCCTGATGAAAGATATAGATATCCTGAATTCAGCTGGGAAAATGGATAAGATGCGTCTGCTGAATATTCTGATGCAGCTGCGGAAATGCTGTAACCATCCTTACCTATTTGATGGTGCTGAGCCAGGCCCTCCTTATACCACTGACACTCATCTCATCACTAACAGTGGTAAAATGTTAGTTCTGGATAAACTGCTAGCAAAGCTCAGAGAGCAAGGTGAGTACTGCTTATAAAAGGTAGTGATCTGAAAGCTCATTGTAAGTAAAACTACCTTTCAAAAATTGCATAGATTAATTCTTGTCTTGTTCCAGTGAATGCATTCATTACTTTCAGTGAGGTTTTTGTTGAAAATAATTTTTCTGTAGATCAGTGCATGGAGGGAAGGAATTCTTACAGGAATGATGAGGAAGAGTAATAATATGGAGAAGTAGGAGGAAAGGAAGAGCAGAGCCTTCCCTCTGCTGTCTTTGAGAAAACTTCTGATGAGAGGATTAGCTTGTTTATGCACATCAGTTGTCAGCTAATTGCCTTACCACGGTTTTAAGTGTTCTGTTTCTTCAGCTGTGTATTCCTTCTGTATAAGTTACCAAGTAACCTGTCTTGAGGAGAAGTTAAATCAGTACCAGAAAAGTAACTACAGAAGAAAGACTTAAGTTAGGCATAGTACAGAATATTTCATGTGAATTTTTACTCATGCTCTGTGATAAGATTAATGTGAAAACGTAAAACTAATGACAAAACCTTCTGTGTTGTTCTCTCAGGTTCCAGAGTTCTCCTTTTTAGTCAGATGACTCGCTTACTGGATATTTTGGAAGATTATTGCATGTGGCGTGGATATGAGTACTGCCGACTTGATGGACAGACACCACATGAAGAAAGAGAGGTGAGAAAGTTGCACATACACAAAAAATGTCTTTGTTTTACATATTAATTTATTAAGGAGTTGTTATTTACATATATATAAGCAGCTACATAGTTGTTTAAAGCAAAAATGCTGCAGTTTAAAAAGGCTGCTAAGGGTGTATGTTTTCCCCAACCAAAGTCCACAGTAAAGTTGGTTTCATTTGTCCCTACGCTAAATGAAAAATGTAATATTTTGTGGACTCAGAATGGATTTTTCCCACTTGTGCCAACCTACAGTTTCTTGCCTCTATAAAAGTTGGTTTTGGTATGAAAGTTCTGTAAATTTCAAAGAAATTAAATTGACAAGCCACCAACATATTGGAAGCTTGTTTGAAAACTCTGATACTTTCATGCAGCATGTGTAGGTTTGTTTGTTTCTTTTTCTTCTTTTAGGAAGCAATAGACACATTTAATGCTCCCAACAGCAGTAAATTCATTTTCATGCTTAGTACCAGAGCTGGAGGTCTTGGAATTAATTTGGCAACTGCTGATGTGGTTATTCTCTATGATTCAGATTGGAATCCTCAAGTAGATCTGCAAGCCATGGTGAGTTAACTGCCTAATACACAGTCATTTATTAAAGTTGTAATTGTTCTGTTTTGTATAAGTGTTTCCAGAATGTGCATTTTTGTTATTTCTCTTTACTTTTTGTGTTTAATACCAAAAAAATAAAGAATTGAATGAAACTGGCATGAACAGAATTGTGGAAGAAACCATAGATATTTCTCTGTAAATATCTTGTCTTTATTTTCTAACTGAATAAGATTACTTCTGTCAAAATACTGTAACAATGTTGTTTATCCATAGAATTATTCTTAATTGTATCTTTCCAGAAGACAACAGTAAATGAATAACGGAGGACTGTTTCCAAAATAATAGCAAAGAATTAAAAGCATGCAGCTTTATCTTCCTCCCTTTTGGGAAGCTTATGCTTTTGCAACCCACCTGTTTTCTGCTTAAGTATAGAATCATCTGGTGGTGATGTTAGGAAAAAAAACCCCTCACCTTTGGGTTAAACACACTAAAATCTTCTCTTTCTGAGTGCTGAATCCAAAAAAATTAATTTATAATTTGTTCCATGTGGAATAAAGATCACATGAGCCTTCTTGAATGATTGCGGGATGGATCATTTGTTCTGTGGTTTGTGGGGGGTTTGTTTTGATTATTTTTTTAATGCCGTTAAGCACATCAAATATTTACTGTGAATAACTCATCCTTTCGATATGCATGCTGACTATCAATAGTAGACTGAATTCCTGGAAACTGATGAGTGTGATTTGTGAGCTTTAGTAGGATTTTCAGGAAGAAATGAGTATTATGTGGGAGAGTAAAAGATTTCATGACTCATGTTTAAAGGACAGTCAGAAAATCCTAGTACCAAGAACTTGAAGGCCAGTTGTTTAACTTTTTATTTAAAAGAGCAAAATAATATTTTTATTCAGAGAGAATAACCACAAGTTTTGTTACAAATAAGTATAGTATGTTAGTCATATAGCCTCATTTGCTGTGCATTGCACCTGTACTCTGTGAGCTGCACATTGATGCTTTAATGTAGCTACCTTGGGACAGATACAGTATTGAAGCTGTGGCTGCATGGACTTTGCCCATGGAATTAAGATGCTCAAGCCAGGGATGCCGAAGTTTCAATACCTGTGTCACATGAGAGAACTAGTTTGAAAGCACTACAGACGTGTGTATGTACATACTGTTGTATCTCCACTTCCCATTTGCAGTCTAGACAGACATTCAATTCTCTTAATTTACAGTGAGGTGGATGCGTTTATTGCTACAGAATGACCCAAACTTAAGGTGTAATAGCCAGATATAAGTAAATGTTACTATGCTGGTTTTACATTTTTATATACTCTTCAATAAGCAGGGAACCAAACAATATATGCTAGTTTGTCTGCTGTTTCTGCGAGCTAACTGTCTATTGCTTGTGAGTTTTTGTTGCTGAACACTCATTGATTTATGTTTGTTAGGATCGTGCGCATCGTATTGGTCAAAAGAAACCAGTACGGGTGTTTCGACTAATCACTGATAATACTGTTGAAGAGAGGATTGTAGAAAGAGCTGAAATAAAACTGAGGCTGGACTCTATAGTTATACAACAAGGTATCAACTGCTATATATGTTTGTCTGCAACAGAATTATTCAGTCCCTTAAAGTATGGGTTAAATAACTGTACAAATGTACAGTATGAGAGAAAGCAGGCCTTCTGTATAATAGCAGTACACTAAATCAACCTAAGAAACTATAAAGCATAACTTACTTGTTCAGCTAAAATTTCTTGAAAAAAATTCTGTTTTCCTAAATAACGTGGGCATAGACTCCTAAGACTCTAAATGAGGAAAGCAAACCACAGCTGAATAGATGTTACTTGGTTTTTGTGATATGTAGAAAAAAGAATACAGGATTTGTTCCCTGACAAATTAAAAAAAAAAAAAAAATATATATATAGATGTGCTTCTTACCACATGGGAATTTACTGAACATTAAAGCTGCTTCATATGTCTTTGTTTAGAAGCTCTTGGAAGAGTTTGTCAAAAACTGAGGTTCTCAAGCTAAGTTTTGAAGGTTGTTTGGATTTCCAAAAGGGTGGGCTACTGAAAGGATGATGGTATAAAGATTTGATGGTCTGTGAAGGGATGAGATAGGATAAGTGAAATTTTGAGACAGAAATTAGAATTTTGGGAAAAATATTCAGATACTTAAGTTGCAATCAGTGAAGTGAATGTAAAAAAATCTTAAGTACTTCTTAGTGGTTAATACAGAATGTCATATTTTCATCTTGAAATAAAATTTTGATCTTAAGTTCAGCTAACTTTGTAAGAATAAGATGTTAAACACAAAATTTGAATTATCTAAATGTGAAGCATTCTTTGTTATGACTTGATCCAGAGTTGTTATTTTTTAATTTTCCCTGAAGTTCCCAATTTCTATGTATTTTCAGCTCAAGTGAAATGTAATTTTTTTTTTTCTGTATGGTTCTTCTGTTTTTTCCTTTCTTGTTCTACCAGTGAACTAAAAAAAATCCACTGAGAACTCTTGTATTATAACTTTCAACATGTTTCTTCTAATTTTAGGAAGGCTCATAGACCAACAGTCTAACAAACTGGCAAAAGATGAAATGCTGCAGATGATCCGGCATGGAGCCACACATGTTTTTGCTTCCAAAGATAGTGAGCTGACAGAGGAAGATATAACCACTATTTTAGAAAGAGGTGAAAAGAAGGTTAGAGAACAGTTTTGTTTGGAATACGAAATGTGTAAAACATTAAATATACATACACAAAATAGAAATTAAATCTGATTATGTAAATCTATTTTTATGCCCAATTATTACTTCACTATTTGTAAATATTTTAAAGCTTATGAAAATTTTGAAGGAGTAGATTTAGTGAGTTATAATTATTTTCAAAGTTCAGACCGTATGTATCATATTTTAAGCACTATTTATTTTGTGGGTTTTTAGATAGATGTAGATTTTGTGCCAACTATTCTAATAGACACAAAACCTTTATGGAACTTTATTAGTGAATAGGTAGCCTGGGAAAATGAGCTCCAAAGAGCTAGCCATATATTTAATTTAAATTTAAATCATACAGTTGTAGGGCTGCATCCCAGCATAATAAATTTAGTTTAATGGAAAGTTTTGGAGTCAGATTCTTCAAAATTGAAGAGCACTATGGGTGTCTCTGCTTACAAAAAAAATGTAAGTAAAAGTTTAAAGCGGAAAAAGACATAGAGAACGTTCTAATGATGATGAAAGCTGGGTTTTTTTCAGAAAAGATAAAACAGCTTGAGTGGGCCTAAAAGTATCTTCCTGTATTTTCAGACAGCGGAAATGAATGAACGGTTGCAGAAGATGGGGGAGAGCTCCCTACGAAACTTCACTATGGACACAGAGATGAGCTTATACAACTTTGAAGGTGAAGATTATAGGGAAAAACAAAAGGTAATTTTTCTCAAACTCGTTAAGACTTTAGAGGTGCAAGCATAAAGGCAATACTAGAAATGTTATGGCTATGAAGGTTATTCTAGAGAAGTAAGGAGCTACTAAAAAATTAAGTTAGCTCTGCAGAATCATCAATACACCAAAATTTGGTTAAATTAGCTTTCAGCCCCACTGTTTTTCTTCATGGTAAAATCTGGTAATATTGCTCAAATTTTATCCTTTCTGCAGCAAAATACTGTGTTGCATCCTATTACACTACTGCAGTCAGTATCATTTTACTGCCACATTTTATTTTTTTTTCTCTTCTATGTGTAGCTGAGCATGATGGAATGGATAGAGCCTCCAAAACGAGAACGCAAAGCTAATTACGCAGTCGATGCTTATTTCAGAGAAGCCCTACGTGTTAGTGAACCAAAAGTCCCAAAAGTAAGTAATTAGCAAGTATGGAGGGTTTTTATGTTGTTCTTTTGTTCTTCTCATCTCCCATGTTGCACCTCCTACTCTCACCCTATACCGGTAATAAAATTAATGTGTTTACAAAGTGATAGGTTGCCACTGCTGCTGAATTATGGCAGTTTAATTGCACAGAAATCAAGCTTATATAATGTTAATGTATCTGTGTATTTTTGAAGGCTCCGCGACCTCCAAAACAACCAAATATTCAGGATTTCCAGTTTTTCCCACCACGGTTATTTGAACTTCTGGAAAAAGAAATTCTGTATTATCGTAAGACTATAGGATATAAGGTAATGCTTTTTTTTTTTCCGTTCAAATTAGTGAAGTGTATTTGTGTTCCTCTTCGCGGATTTACTGCAACCTTGACAATAGCTAAATGAAGTAAATGAGAATGCAACTAAAAATATGTATCATTCTGGTCTTATTTTTTTGCAATGTGCTTCTTGTGAAGGAAATGGCTTAAAACCTCTATTCCACTGTTCATGTTCCATTGCAGAACAGAGAAAGTAATCTGTAATTCCTTCTTTCATTAAAAACTTCATAACATTCATTGTAACATACATTTGACAAAATGTAGTCCTATTTTTGGGAGTGAGGGTTTAAGCAATAAGGTTTGAATCTAAGTAAAACCCATTTGGTAACTGCTGTACAGATCAGTGCTTTAATATTTAATAGTTGTAAAAAATGTATTTTACCACTTACGTGTATTCTGCAGTGTTTTTCACTAAAGTTTCTTAAAGAAAAAGTGAATAGGACCCATTTGTTACTTACAAGTGAAGATAAATTTTACATTAGGAGCTTGTGAGACAAGAAGGAACAAGCATAGATAAATGACAGTATGATACATCACCTTGTCTTGAAGGTTAATATTTTTAATTTTGTAACAGTTTTGTAGATACTGATGAAAATATTCTGATACTCACTTTTAAAAATATTTTTATTGTGGTTTGGTTTCTTCAGGGCAGCCAAGGTGTGGGATGGTGCGTTTTTTTGTTGTTTGAATTTGTCTTTTTGTTCTATGACAAGAAGTGCTTAGTGGCTGTGGACTATTGTCAATCCTGTGAAATCTAACATGCTTATAAACCATAAACTGAGGTTGACTGAAAAGTGTACAGTCTCTAATAACCTTGCTGTGCTGCTGCTTATTGATACCCCTTATTTTAGGTGCCCAGGAACCCTGATCTCCCAAATGCAGCTCAGGTACAAAAAGAGGAACAAAAGAAGATAGATGAGTCTATGCCTCTGAATACGGAGGAAACTGAAGAGAAAGAAAAGCTTCTAACACAGGTGAAATAAAAACAGCTGAAGTATTTCATAATGTATTTTTTAATAGTATGGAATATAAATACTAATAATGATAAATCTGCACAGAAAGCTACACTGATCTTATAGAAAGAAGAAAGCACACAACATGTAATGATTTGGCTTGGTTTTGCTTTGAGGGACCTTGCCTGTCCTTGAACAAGTTTACATCTTAGTCACCTACTATTTCCTTGAATGTCTGCAAAGTTTCTGAGGCAAGGACTTAAACAGTAGATGCACTGCCGACCAATACATGCAGAAATCCAATCAGTTGCTTTCTTATATATGCATCTTCCTTGCATTTTTTTCATCAAAAAGGGCTTGAATCGTAGAGGACAAGCCTTTGTCAACATACACGGTATTTACACAGTTGTGCTGCATATGTCACATCGATTAATGCTGTCCCTGTTGGGTTGTTAAGCATGTTCCTTTTATATGGGGACTGCATCCCTGTTACTGGCTAGTTTCTTGACTTTAGGACTATTATCCTGCTGAGTAGGCTTATTCAAAGCAAATTGTTAAGGAGAAAGGTGTATCTCAAAGTAACAGGATTTTTTGATTCAGAAGATTTTTTTAGTAAAAGAACAGGGCGTAGTCTACCTTGAGAAGAAATTTGCAAGGTCATGATTTGACTATTAATTTCACCTGTTTATAGCAGAGGAAATATTTAAGCTGTGCTGATATGCATGTCAGTACTGCTGTTAATGATTAAAAAGAAATACTTGTGTATATTCAACTTCTTGTAAAGATGCTATCTAATTGTGGAATGAGCTTATTCATGTGTAGAACTGACAGAGTTCCTTGTAAATGTATTTCTGTGATGAAGGAAACTCAACTTAACTGTTGTTCAGTTTTGGGTTCATTTCTTTGGTACTTAGCAAGTTTTCTGTTTGAGTGTGCTATGGAGTTTCCATTTGATTGCATCTTTTTGGACTAGAGATCGTTTCTTGACGTACTTAGGCTTTTGTCAAGCTGTTTGTCTGGTTCAAGATTTGTTAATGTCCATCACAAGAGCTCTTGCTTTAGATACTTGCTCTACTCTAAGAACTTGTAGTGACACTTGCATTGGTGCACCCTGTAATCCTAAGACATTTGTTGCTTGTATCTGCTGAAGGGTGACTTAAATAAAATTACAGTAACCTGTAATTGAGCTTGTTTCTTTGGAGAAATACCATGTAAAAAAGTTTAAAAAGAAAGAAGAGTAAAAAACTCTTACTAATGCACGTGGAATCATGCACAAAAATAGCTCTTTAGACCTTTAGTAATTAAGTAATAAACCCTGGATAATACAAGTTTATGGAAATCCTGAAAGACCATTAACCACTAATTACGTGACACTGCAGAGCTATTGCCAGTTGGAGTAAATGATACATACATGAGACAAAATTTTGCAAAATGTTTCCCTTCTGCCTAGTAATGCCTTCTTGATCTCTTACTGCTTACAGGGTTTTACAAACTGGAATAAAAGAGATTTTAACCAGTTTATTAAAGCTAATGAGAAATATGGTCGTGATGATATAGACAATATTGCCCGTGAGGTGGAGGGAAAGTCTCCTGAGGAGGTCATTGAGTATTCAGGTTTGAAATTTTGAAATATATTTCTTAATCAAGTGGTATCGCTTTAAGTTTTGCTACATGTTCCTTTAAAATGACAAGATGTAGAATTTGTATGTTTTAAAAAAAGTACGTAATAGTTCTTTTCAGAAGACTTAATTCTGTTAAAAATACTGAATTTGTGGCATATAAATATGCCTTCAGCTGCCTTTATCCCTGATCAGCCAAAATTTAGAACTTGGCATAGTTAATTTAAAGACACTGAATAAAGGGTCTGTGCAGGCTTATTTCTTGGCTAGCATAGTAAAAGGAAGAATATTAGCAAATATTTTAAGATTTAATGGAACCACAACCTGTGGGGTTTTTTTGTTTGTTTTCTGGAGTGCCTTAACTGAGTAAAGTAGTAAGAGTAGAGGAAAAGATTTTATTTTACAAATTATATTTTGCATTTTCAGCTGTTTTCTGGGAACGTTGTAATGAACTACAGGACATTGAGAGGATCATGGCTCAAATTGAACGAGGAGAGGCAAGAATTCAACGGAGGATCAGTATCAAGAAAGCCCTCGATGCCAAAGTAATCATTGCAGGTTTTCTGTTTTCTGCAACTGAATTCTTCCAAATTCCTTCAGAAAAGGAAGAGTTGGGGATGGGAGTTAAATCTTTTTATATAGTGTATTACCATGTGTTGGTAATCTACACCAATATGTAACACATACTTGATGTAATATTTTATGTTTACTAGTCCTTATTTTTGTTTTGCACCCAGATTGCAAGGTATAAAGCACCTTTTCATCAGTTGCGTATTCAGTATGGAACAAACAAAGGGAAAAATTACACAGAAGAGGAAGACAGATTTTTGATATGCATGTTACACAAGATGGGCTTTGACAAAGAAAATGTGTATGAGGAACTAAGGCAGTGTGTGCGCAATGCTCCTCAGTTCAGATTTGACTGGTTTATCAAATCTAGAACTGCAATGGTAGGTATCAGTCACATGGACTATGGAAGTATCTTGTTCCTTTTTTAAGCACCATCACATAAAATATGGATTTGTGCTGGTATATTGGAGCCTAGGAAACAGGTGCTGAAAAAGTAACTTTGGTTTTTATTTTCATTTCTAGTTTGGAGTAAAATAACCTTTTCCCTTAGTACAGCAAACAACACAACACAGCTGAAACAAACGGATCAGAAAATTTGCCAAGCTGAGGTCTCACGTTACCCTGAGGGATTAATGCAGAGGTTGACTGTCCTTACAAATATCCTTGTTACTTTTATTGCAAACTAAAGGTTTTACCAAACAATGCCTCTTAAGACATGACTGCTTTTCAGAATTATTGGGCAATATTAAAGACTGAAAACATCTGAATTATGTACTGGGGAAAAAAGAACAGCTTTTCTAATATTGGTATTGCTAAAAGCATAAGGAAATTTAGTGATTCATATAATTGTTAATTGTTGAAACAATTGGTTTAAAATGCACTTGTAGTTGTGAATAAGGATTATCACATGCAAGTGCTTAATTTTATTTTAGTTTTCTGAAGATTTTGTTCATGCTTGGAGAACGTAGTATGTTTGAAAGCAAATAGACTAGTACTCTGAATTTTAGGTGTATTTTTTTCCTTTCTCTGTTTGAAGAGCAGAGACATTCTTTTTCAATTCAGTAATTGAGTAATAAGTGATAACGCTAAAAGCAGCTTTGGTAGTTACAAATAATAAGCTATGTAGTTACCAACCTCAGGATATCGGACTCTTTTAATGATAAAAAGCTGTCAGCTCTGCCCTGGAATTTTTGCTCAGATCTCCCCTCATTCAGTTCCTTTTTCTCACAACTAAAATTTGTCAATCTGTGCACCTTATGTAGGAAACACACACATGCATTTTCATGTGAATGTATTTATATGGGGAAAAACACATTCAGGGTTTTTTTTTAATGCTGGAAATAACTTTATCCTACTCACTTGCAATGAGTGAGAGCTGGAACTTTTTTGTCTACTTGAATACAAAACTGTGTTGGTCCAAGAGAGTGGAGCACCCTGTCCCTTATACAGCTGTTGTAGATTCTTCCCATTGTCCTGTAAGCAGATTTCTAATTAAATGCTATGCTGCGGTCATGTAACTTAAATGTTATGTTGTATACTAATCTGGATTTTTCTTTTTAGCAGCCTAGTCTAGCAATTACAGAACCACTGTGCATTATTTACTGTCTTCATTTTCTGACCTCAGGATTTGTTTATAAAATGTTCTTTCAGAGTTCTGGGCACTGTACTAAGAATAAATAAACCGTAAGATAAAATATTTAAAATGTATATTTGAACAGGTGGGAATATTTGCTTTTCCCAGGGCTACTTATAATTATGCAGTACAATTTCTACTCGATATTTCAGCAATTAAAAGTGTTTCTGTATAGTGCAGCAGTTGGCCCTTAATTAAAAAGAATTACAAACTTAACTTGCTAAAATGTCTGTTTGGAAAAAATACTGGATTTAAAAATTATGTCTGTAAAGAGAGAAACCTCCAGTATTTAGTCTATGATGAAGTTTCTTTTAAGGTGTCTATGGAGGAATCCATCTAAGTACTAGAAATGAAAAATGGAGCTCAACATCTAATATTAGTTGATGTATAGTTAAGTCGGGGGTAGAATTAAATATTCAGTTTAAATCTTCTTGCGGATCCTTCTGTTCAGTATAATTTAATTTTTTAAAGGGGATAGGAATCATTTGCTTAAGTGTACAAATACGTTCTGTGATGTCCCATGCTGAAATTGAGGCACTGGGAACATAGTGAATCTCTAGGCTAATGTTTTCTCTTAAAATTCTATCCATTAATATTTTTAGTTTTTCTGCTGTTACACTGTTGAAAAAGAATAGTATGAAAATACAAAGCTAAAATAATCTTTCACTTTCGGTGTGCATTTAATATTCTTAAATGTTTTAAATTACCATGATAAGTATAACTTAGTAGTTTATAACTGCCATTCACTGGCATACTTTATGTATTCAAATATCCCGATGCTTATGGAAGTATTAATTGGTATGGGTACACTTTGCACTAGCTTGTATTGTTTTAAGAAGAAATATGCTGGTAAGTCACTTGATATCAAGAAAAATGAACCAAGTATAAATACAAATCTTCATAAAGGAGTAAATAATAAGTTTAGTGAAAGTGGTTAGAACTTCCTAGAATACATGTGATCTCAAAATTACCTTTTATTACATTCAAACTGATATGAAACAAGATGGAAAGGGCAGTGGAATTCTGAAAAGGACTTACCAGGCTCTCCGAGGAAACTTTCTGTTCTACTAACCACTAGATGTCTCTTGAATTCCATATATATAACTGATTTATCTTCCATCTTCTTATTTCTGTTTCTTCTCCTTCTGATTTCTCTCTGGAAACCAAATTCTGCTTAATTTACTTATTCCAAAAGCAGATGGTTTACCCAAAATGCAAGTTTTCAAAGAGATTGAGTGTGCCTAAAATTGTAATTTTATTTTTTTTTTAACTGGATACAGAGGTTTAATTTTTTGAGTTTAGTTGTTACTGTTCTTTTATTTCTGTCCATGCAGGAAGAATGCAAAATACTGTGGCAGGAGTGAATCATGTATCTGTTTTCTGAAGTCATAAATTATGCATATTCTCTTTTACTTTTCTGCAAACCTTAGCTAGTGTAAGACAAATGACTCCTTTGTAAATACAGGAATATATGGGCCTGTTGACAGAGCTTAGGACTACTTTCACTCCCAAGTCAGCACCTCTACCTTCAGTCATGCAGAAGGTGATGGTTCAGTGCTCTCATCTTCTTTATTGCAATACTAGTCTTTACAGCTATGAAGGGGTGAGCAAAGTACATCTGATCTCTTTCTATCCTAAAGAGAAAAGTATCTGGCCACACTGAATAAAATCTCACCTCTAAAGGCACAAGGCATTTTAAACTTTAAAGTGTATTTTTATAGCAATAAAATGGAATGGGTCAGTCCATATTAAAATTTCAGTAGCTTAATGCAGGATTTATCATGTAGATTCTTTTGGATGGTAGATGTAGAAGAAACCTGTGTGCATGTCACATCTTACTGTCCGCTGCTTCTGTGGTTCTCCAGAGTGTTTGAGTCCATCCTTTGTCCACAGTGTGTTGTTCTGCAGTAGCAGTCATCAGGAAAGTCTAACCACAAACCTGTACACTTCAATAAATGTATGTATTTATGCAAGCATTTTTCCCCAGGAAAGGGGAGGATTTTTCTTAGGGCCTTAGGCAGATGGATCAAGGTTATTTTTTTAGTCCTTTCTAATTAATTGCTTGTCCTGAGTTTAACACAAACTGGTTTCTCATACACTAGAAAAGATCTAGGTTATTGTTGCTATTAAACAGCTTGTCGTCAGTCTTTACCTACAGCTCCTAATTCTTTGAGAACAATGTACACATATTTAAATTATGTAAAATACTTCTGACATATTGACAATAATCTTTCTACCTCTGTCTTTTTATCTTCTGTATTCATCTGTAGAGTGTAGGTTTTAGGGACTGAAACTCTCCTGTCCTGTATTTGAGAAAACAATGTATGTTGGGATGGCTTGCACTCAAGTTTTCTCAGGCTTACTGCCTTTTTACCTAAACACTGTTGTGTGGATGGAATTTGAGGGTTTTTATTAGTTGAGGTGCGTATTTTAGCTCCAGCAGGACTGTCACATTCCAGGGCACAAGCATGACACACTAATTCATGGTTGAACCTGTACTGAGGGGCATGGAGTTACTTTTACATGGATGCGGTAGAAATGACTCATTATAATACTCTGCAACACTACACGCATGAGACTGGAGTGTTTCAAGTAGGGAGTTGTAAAAAATAATGTCCTGAAGAATATTTTTTTGTGTGTGTGTGTGGTAAAAAAAAATTCATATAGTAGCAGGATTTGGTGTGTCCATTCTGAATTACACAGCTTTCACCAAAGGGCTTGGAGCTCCCTTTGTAGAAGAATCTGTGGAAACTGTAGAACTTAAGAATGTGGTTAAGCTTGAGGGTATTAACATCTCAAAGATGAGTCATATGCTTGACTGTTTCAGACCGTTCAGGATCAAGAAAGCGTGCAGGCTGCATTGTTTTCCATCATGTAACATGATGAGTGAGGCAATATATAGGCTACAGATGCTGAAAAAATAGAGACTAATTCCTGGGCAAAAAGGTCACCTGTTCACTTCATTGCAAATAGACCAGTTGTAGATTAAGATTTATGCTACTAGGTAATTGTAGGATAGCTTGTGGTTCAAAAATTGCTTCATTGAATTTAATAGAGATAAGACATAATTTTCCAGCTTTTTTTCCTCAGAGGAAAGCTTCCTGCTTTGTGTTGGAAAGAAAAGTCCATGGAATCACTGTTCTCAGGGTGCATAGAACATACTGAATCATTATATTAAAACCAGTTACTATTACAGAATCACAGAATGTTAGGGATTGGAGGGGACCTCAAAAGATCATCTAGTCCATACCCCTGTCAGAGCAGGATCACCTACAGTAGGTCACACAGGAAGGTGTCCAGGAGGGTTTTGAACGTCTCCAGAGAAGGAGACTCCACAACCTCTCTGGGCAGCCTGTCCCAGTGCCCTGTCACTCTTACAGTGAAAAAGTTTTTCCTTATGCTTACATGGAATCTCCTATGCTCCAGCTTGCACCCTTTGCCCCTTGTTCTACTGTTGAACATCACTGAGAAGAGCCTGGCTCCATCTTCCTGACATTCACCCTTTACATATTTATAAACATTAATGAGGTCACCCCTCAGTCTCCTCTAAACTAAAGAGCCCCAGCTCCCTCAGCCTTTCCTCATAAAGGAGATGTTCCACTCCCTTGATCATCTTTTTGGCTCTGCACTGGACTCTCTCAAGCAGTTCCCTGTCCTTCTTGAACTGTGGGGCCCAGAACTGGACACAGTATTCCAGATGTGGCCTCACCAGGGCAGAGTAGAGGGGGAGGAGAACCTCTCTCGACCTACTAACCACACCCCTTCTAATACTGTGTATTTTGTAAGAGATCTCTTTTTTTCGTGATGGGATACAAGAAACCGTCCAAGTCAAACGTGTTCTATTAACCAAGCCAACTGTTACTAACTGCAATGCAGATGCTTTTAGAGTTGTATTGGAAGTATTTTTTAATGTATAAATGACCTTATGGCATTTAATCTTTATCACTTCCTTGATGCTAAAAGCTTTTAAGGCTTGCTATCTTTTGGTTGCTGTTTGACTGAAAATACAACAGTGAGTTCATGATTTAAGGCTGGATAGATTTTTGGCAGTTGGAAGCTCTACAGTGTCTTACCAGAAAAAAAAACCAAACTAGTCTGTGTGCAACAGAAAAATATTGTTTAAGACAGCTTTGATTCCTGCTTGAAAGATATACCTAAAGACCTCTCTTCCTAAAATCTGGCGTAGTATGCTGGCAGGCTATAATTTGCTTCATCTAAACAAGATGAAAGATTAGATCAGTCTTTTAAGTTTGGAAGATAGAGAGAATCCTAAAAACTCTGTGTTAGGAAGTTGAATGTTTTGGTAAATCTCCCTGTGTTTATAAAGAGGGTTACACTAAGGTAAAGACAGATGAACAAATAACTAAGCTAATCTTACCACTGTGTAAATATTGTACATTTTTTGAAAACCTAAGTATTTTGGAATTCAAGAATTTTGAACATATTTATGTAAATGAGATAATTTATAGAATTTATTTAGAGAATTTGATGTTTTCTGTTTCCTTAGGAGTTTCAGAGACGCTGCAATACTCTGATATCATTAATAGAAAAAGAAAATATGGAAATTGAGGAAAAAGAAAGAGCTGAAAAGAAGAAAAGAGGAGCAAAAGTTACAGCAGTATGTTTAGCAGCATTTACTTTACTTGTAATGGGACAGAATTAAATTATATTTTGTTAGAAAATGAAAAAAATAATTGTAGCCACTAATTGTTTTCGTATAAACCATTAGTTGAGAGATTAAACTGAAGTCTTTGTCTATTCATCTGTTCATAGCTCTCCTAGATTTTATGTAGCTCTTCCCAATTTGTAGTATTTTGGGGCTTTTTTTTTTGACCAGAGTCTTTTGTCTACGTACCAGAGGAAGACTCTTTTTTAAGAAATCGTAGCACCACCCTTTTTCTCCCTACACATTTACATCATATTTTTGCTTTAATTTAATCTGAGATTGTTACTCTTCCCCTACATAGTAGTTCCTGGCAGAAGAAATGATAAGAAGCACTTCTTTTGTTTTGGGGAGTTCTCTTTAAAACAAAATTGTGTGTAAGTCAAGGTCCTGATCTTTTCATCTGATTCATGGTATGTGTGGTACCTGTACCATTGATACCATGTAATGATTTCAAGAAGATAAAAAGGGTAGCAGAATTAAGTGTCTAAATCTGGGATTTTTGTTTGCCCTTCCAGTATATCCTACAAAGCTGATTTGAGATATATAATACATTAGGGTCACCTATCTATCTTTTGAAGAGTTAGTCAGGTACTTAAATTTTATTTTTTTAATGATACCACCCTTTTGTTGAATTTATAAAATATTTTTTTCCCTTTTAGTCACAGAAGAGAAAAGCAGATTTGGCTACTGAGAACTCTGGAAAAAAAGATGCAAAGAAAGTGAAGTCATAAACCTGCAAACTGAATGCTAAATGTAGAACTGCCACTTTCTTCTCTCCATCTACAAGTATTAATTGCCAACTTCTTTGTATTCATGGTACTCTTATCCCCCAAATCCTATGGTTTAATTTTGCAAATTTTGTATACTTTACAATGTGTTTCTTTATCTAAAATGTGTAGCTTTATATCTTATGCATTCCAGTATTTCTGTGTACTGTATTTTGTGAGTTTCATGTATTTGACAAAATTCACTCAGTCCTTGTTTTTTTGAAGCTTGTGCTGAGGTTTTAGCTTTTATATGTTTTATATGCTGCTGCTGCTTTGAAAGAAAACCTAGATTCTATAGCTGTATTATTGTTGTTTCATATTTTAAATTTATATGGCTGTTGGAAAATAAACTGACTTACTTATTTGAAGAGAAATATACTCCACCTTTGTTTTCCCTACCCTCTTACCCTTTTTTTGCATAGTTACATTTAGAGTGAATGTTAAGGTTTGTATAATTGTGCCTTCATCATTGATCAGATTTTTTTTTTTTCAGAGGAGTACTTAGATAGGATCAGGAGCATGACAGAACAAAAAAAAAAACCTAATTAGACTGACATTCTTGACATTAAATTGACATTTTTCTCGGAAATGTTTGGAAGGAAAGCCAGCAAATACTTACACTTTTTTTTTTCTTTATCACTGGTTTCTGCTGGGCTCTATACATGCTTAAACGTGGGTTGAGGTGTTATTCTGAGTGACCTCTAGATGAAAACTTTTCTATGCCTAATAAACTGAAGTAGGCAACTAACAGCTTCTTTTTTAAGTAACAAACAAAATAATTAATCTTCTGGTTGGTAGGCTGCTCAGCTATGAAGCCTTGTGCTAAAAGATCTTTGCTCTAATTATCTCTGCTAACTTTCTGCTTTTACCTTTGGTTCAATGTGTCAGTCAGAAGCAATGGGGATATATTATGGAGTGCTCCTTTTGAGTATTTCTATTTTAATGAAGGGATGAAAGTGTTGGATGTATGATTTTTTTTGACTTTGCAAGAATGGCCTTTATAGCAGGTTCATAGTTTCTGCTCACCTTGGAGTCTCTGCCTTTCCCGAATCAGTAGGACAGTGACTGTGACATCTAATGTTTTACTTTGATCTTTTGTCTCTGATCTGGTGTTCAGTATGGACCTTGCTACAGTATGACATGCCCTCATAATGTCAAGTCTAGATTAATACAGTGTGCTTTACATGGTACTTCCCTTGAAGACTACTTGTAAATTTCTTCTAGTGCAGTTTGCTTCCTTCTGTGGTTTGAGGTGTTTTGAGATTAAAAAAACTTCTTCAAACTCTTTGTATTTCATGCTTTGCACTGGCTGCCTTCTTCTGTATTTGTAAAATTCAGGACTTTTTTATAAAAAGTTCTTGAGTCTTAGGACAAAGTTCTGCCTATATTCTTTTATGTTATTTAAAATGTATTGGAATGTCTTTGAAATTTTCTGTGATTAATCTCTGTAAGCTTGATGAGTAATTTCCAGCCTTTCTTGATCGTCTGTGTTTAAGGTTTGGGGCAAAATGGATGTGACGACTTGGTTGAGCATTTTGAAAGATTAATAATTTGACTTTATATTTTGAAATGGAGCTTTTGGTTGGGAATCAAGTTACTGATTGTTTCACTGGGCTTGTAGGACATCCTATAAAAAAGAGTATTCATCTGATGGGTTGAGAGCTACATCTAATAATGATGGGACATCCACTTCTAGACAGAAGATTAGTGATGGGTATCAATCCATGCTTGTAAATGAGGAGGCAACCCAGATGGGATAGGTCTACTCGGAGAAGAAGGATGTCTTTTCAAATCATATTTTTGGCATTGGAGTAGTTGACATTCTGCTTTATCCTTGGGAGAAAAACATCCTTTGTAATTATGGGCTGGAAAAAGGCTGTGCAGCTACATGCATACATAATTGCAAATCCCTGGAGCATTGCTATTAATGGAGAAAGATGCCTTATTTACGTTTGCTTTTCAGCTCCCATGTTGCTTTATAAGATTATGACCTGAAATTATTAAAGAAAAAAAGTAAAAAGAGGAGGGAAATAAAGGCTGGAAGAGCCAATTGAATCTAGACCTTGTTCTGTTGCTCCTGTTTAGCATCAGGTGAATATTTTAATGTTTTAAGTCTTGAAATAAGTATATTCTGGTTTTGTTTCTTGTAGATTAGCTTTGTTTCACTTGCATGTTTTTGTGTATCCAGTTTCTCTGTGTTGCAAAGTCTATGGAAAGTGTTACAATGGTAACATCTCAACTTGTTCTTTTATGCAGATTTCTTGGCTTGAGTTACCACTTGAGTTAATGTTCAGTTTTCTCTTCCTTCAGTGTCATGTTATACTAGCTATATAGCAAAAGATCATGCAGTTGTTCTTCCAGATACTATCCTCTTGATCAGACAGCTTCTCTGAAGAATGATAGATGCTCCCAGGAGCTATCTGCTATCTGTTACAGTCTGTAGTTCCTGGTTAAACTGAATGTGCTGTTGAACAACAGTCCTTGAGAGCACTTGTACACTCTATACTAGTTCCTCAGCATATTGAGTCTTCCCATCCATCATGTCCCACAGTGATAACTAAAGAAAATTGCTAACAGCTGCTGGTCAGGATTAAAGTAAAATGGATCTTTCTCTTCCTTTTGTGTTATTCTGGTTGCAGATAGACACAGTCTATGCCGAGGAGTATCTAAATGATATGCTTCTGTGACTCTAAATTACATGAACTGAAATAAAGTAATCTTCCTACTTTTAAGTACTCTTTTCTTAGGTGAGGAATACTGTTTGTAAGAAATTTGTAGGCACTGAATATAATGTGATACAAAACTTCTGGAAAGTCTGGGCCTTTAGGGAATTTGATAGTTGCCCCAAAAAATTACATGATACAAAATTTTGGAAATAATTTATTGTTTCCTTTTGACTAGGCAATTAAAATTTGGGGGTTTTTTTTTAGCATTAAACCTGAAGAAAAAGTAGTCATCTAACACCTTTCACAGATCAGGCAGTGCATGTAACATCCTAGGAGAGGTCACAACAGTTGTGTTTTTCTTTTCACATATTAATTGTTTTCAAATTATCAGCCTTTTATTTTTGAGTTATGTTAGTGACGACAATAAAAAAATCACACAGCTGACCATCTTCATTATATTTAATTTCAGTTTATTATAATGATGTTGAGAAGGAATGAAGCATTTTCCCTGATGGTGGTACTAGACCATCTTTAGATACTCTTTGCACAAGTAGCATTACTATACTAAAATATTAAGAATTTTTTATTGTAGATTAGCATTACTTGTTTCATTTAGTGCTAATGCTGGTTATAGTTTTTTTAAAAAAAACAACAGCTTTCACTCTTGAGATCATAAGCAAGGGAACAGTATATGGAAATTAATCAGAATCTTTCTAAATGCCTGATGGAACAAGTTCTGTTAAGCAGCTCCTGCGGATCCTGCTGTGCACTGCTTTGATACAGGTGCTCTCTGTGTGTGCCTCTTCCCCAGGTTCAGTGGAGGGATTAAGTACTTTCAGTGATCACAAATTAATGCCAGAACTAAACATGTGGGCCTTACAGGTTGAAAAAACATGGAATTTTGCAGTCAGCAGTGGTTTATGTGAATGTAAAATGACATGGCTGGTGCAGGCGTTGGCACTTGTGATGTTGGAAGGGATTGGTCATTGACTGTCGTTCTGATCTGGTTAAGATAACTTGACAGTTGTTACGTTTTCCTTAAGTTTATCTAGTTCGTGTACTTAGCTTCAAGCATGTATGTAAATGCTTTGGTTAGTCACAGTTACAATGTTTGGTATGTTCTTTTTCTGGAAGAGTTAAAGTTAAACTTAGTTTGCATATTTTGAAATGTAATGTACTCTTTAATTGCATTTGCATGATATCCATCCTTTCATAAGAGCCTTAATAGGAGTAATATTTGCTGCCTCAAAGGTATGTCTACATTGTCTTGTTGAAAGATAACTTCTGAATTTTTTGAAGTTGAGATTCATTTCTTAAGTTGTACATATATGAAAATAAAAATTAATATGAACCTGACATCTTCTCTAGTTACACTTCTGGTACAGATGGGCCCATGCACTTGGGTACTGTTACAAAATAATTTGATTTGTCTTTGTTGCTCTTGTACCTCTCAACCTTCAGGCTATGGTATCTGAATGTAAGGGGGGGGGATGTGTGTGGCTGTTCCACATCTGCTTTCAAACTTTCCAATTTTCTGTAATCTAAAATAAAATATTAGTAATGCCTGTATCTTTGTGACAGCCTTGCCTGTGTTGTCTCTTAGTACGGTATGATACAATGTACGTTGATCTTGTATTAAAGTATATAACTGTTTTTCTGTTGTTCCATACCTCTAGTGTGTTACTAAAATAAGATACTTCATAGCTTAAGTCTAGGAGACATAGAATGACAGGGATCAGGAATTTTGTCATTGCAGCTGTTGATCACTAGTAGACATGCTAGATATTCTGCTTGGAGAGGTGTGTGCCCTAAATGAACGCTGAGTTTTCCACTTTTTTCTCTAGATGCCTCCCCAGAAAAAAAAGAGAGACAGTAAGGAGCTCTGGAAGACCAGTTTATCCTGGCATTGGCTGGTAGCAATTCTGTCTGCTTCACAGTGACTTTTGATAGACCTCATTCGTATTCAGGTGAGGCACTGAGACCAGGATAAAGGAAGTGGAAATAGGGATGTTGATTGTGTTACCTTGTCCTCAGTAGCAGTCCAAAACAATTGTTGGGTTCACTACAAGAACTATAGCCCTTCCAGATAGCTTTGCTTAGTGACGTGTTGTCTTTCTCTAGCTTAACAAACAGGTGAATATTCCTGAGGAGACCATTTGACAGTGAGGATTTAGGGTCCAGTGAGGCTTCTGTTATTTCTCTTAGAGCTGTTGCTTTCACACTTTCTTAAGACAGCCTTCTGAATTTCTAGATACCTTGATTCTAATGTCTTTATTCCTTCAGGGGTTTTTTCGTGGGTTTTAGTTGGAATGTTTTGTTTGGTTGATTTTTTTTTCCTTTTATTTTGTAATTTCTGCTTAGGAAAAGAAAAAAGTGTATTAACTACTGACTATTTCAAATTATTAAAATAATCCTAAGGATAATAGTTGTTAGACTCATAAAATTGTAGTTGAGATTTTATGAAGATACTACAGACTGTGTTGCATGCTGGTGGTTTATGAATTTTGTGTAACTTTTACAAAATTCCAAGGTTATATCAATGCTGTTAGCAGTCAGTCCTCACTTAAAAATGAATATAATACAGCATTTTGTTCAAGTAATAACTCATTACAGTTCAGGTTTCTTGAAGAAATTGGCTGTTAAAATTTTTAATTGTCATTCACCTTGAGGAATTGGCTATAAAATATAATCTTATAGTAGAG